GAATAAAAGAGGTAAGATTTAAGATTGTTAATTTTTTGTCACTGTTTGGATGGTTGATAAAGAAAATTAGATGACACTCAGAGGGAATTTATGTCTTTTTCAAAGGCATTTAACAGCTGGTTAACAGTAGGTACTGGATTGACTTGACCATCAAATCAGTAGTTTGTTAACTTGAATATGTTGTTCTAAGTTCCAAAGTTCATATAAAGAAAGAAGAAATGGTCATGATGCTTCCTCCATTTAGTATGGATCAGGTCCCAACTTCATCTGAAGCCAAGCTTTCCTCAGCTGTGGCTCCAATTCATAGCACTACTCTACTCTCAAATTCAGCTAGAAAACATTCACCCAAGCTCATGACATTGGCATACAACTTCTCCTTTGTGAAAAGCCCAAACCCTTCTCGACAGCAAATGCAAGTTTTTCAAGATTTACAGCAATGTCCTGAACTTCTTCAACCAAATGGAGGCATATGACTTCTATTACGCCACTCTTTGTATCAGCAGAACTATTTCCTTGCCCCCAACTTTGCTTGAAGAATGGGATCCCCTGATTTTGTGAGTCATGGAATTCAATCATTGTTGGAAAAGTGACATAACATTTTTTTTTTCAAAAAAAAAGCATCAATTTTCTATTGCTGTTCTTTTTGAGATCATCTGTCAGGTTTAAGATACAGAATTAGGTGTGTAAAAATGGTAGCATGGTAGTGATTGACTGAAACTTTAATCAGAACAGAGTATTGGCCCTTAGTGGCTTGATACAAAAATTTTGAGTGTATTGATACTTTGGACCATGCCTTCGATGATTATTACTATTATATATTGATTTTTTTCGCTATACAACACTAAAAATAGGGAAATTTATGGTTTGCTCCCCTTGGAAATTTTTATTGGTCTTCTAAATGTATTGTCCCAAATCCCTATTTATGCTATAGTACCTGATAAAGGAAGATTTGGCCCGACCTCGCAATCACTCCATGTGGCAAAAGCAAATAGCTCGGCACTTAAAACAGCGCACCCAGGGCGCAAGCACCAAAGGGAAGAAACCAATAGTCTGAACTCCCTTCGAGGAGCCTAAACTCCCTATGAGGAGCCCGAACTCTCCCTTAGGCCCCGAGCCACACAAGGCAGTGACCCAAACTGGCTCGCCTCATGGCAGTTCGGGACACTCCCCTATCCAAACTCAAGAATTCACCTCGTTCACCACTCCAGCACTTCGCCTCCGAGACGCCGAACTGAACAAACGTACCATACCTGACACCGAAGAGGTCCGTATCCAAGGGCGGCGCATCTGACTGACTTGGGATCTGACGCTTGACAGCCGCACTTCAACGGTCACCTACCACCGCCACCTGCCACCGTCATCGCCAGTCGTAGAGACGGCTCCGACAAAAGGGAGCAATGAAGGTTCTGACCAGCAGAGGGGATGACACCCGAACTGGCAGGAGACCAGAGGTAATCGTACCCGACCTGACAGAAGCTTAGAAGAGTGCACGAGGTGGCTATAAAAGGCTCCCTACCCCCAAGAATAAGGTATGTAAACTTTGCGCTATCTGGTTTTATCTTGCCTTTGAAGGATTCTAACTTGAGCTTCGGAGCCTCGACACCGGGTTCCCCTCGGAGCTTCTTCATCTTCTCCATTTCAGGTTCCCCGAAATTCCGTTTAGAGGCAAGGTCATTGATAGCTAAGACTGGCCGGATTGCGCACCATCAGTACCCGTTGAGTTGTGATAAATTCCCCCACATGTCACTGTTGTTAACTATACAAATTCATGAAAATTTTTGAGGTGGAAGAATCAATAAAAACCCAATAAATAAAGAAAAAATTTAAAAATTAGGGGCACAACTTTGATTAGGTAGGCGTTGGGAATCAATGTCATTGCTTCAGAGATGTTTTCTGAGAAAACAGTGTTGTATGCATGAGGATCTGTTGCACCGTTTTCTCAGAAAAATTATCCTTTTTTTTTTGTTTGGCATCAATGCTGCCATATAAACTATTTTCTGGGAAAACAGCACTGGTTTTGTTTGATACCAGTGCTGTAGAACCACTTTCAGCATTGGTCTATATTATCCAAAGTCCAAGATGATGCCACATCATTGCACCACTAGCAGCAACGGGCTTTTTCTGAGAAAACATTCAATTTGGCGTTTCTTCAGATCACTTTCCTGATTTTCAAGAAGTGGTCTGAAACAATATTTTTTCTAAAAAAAGGGTACCAAATAAAAGGTCATTACTGGAAAAATGGCACCGATACCAGACACCGCCTAGCTTGGGTTGAGAATAAATTTCAAAATATCATAATGCATGATTGTCCATACCTATCAGCACCTAGTACTCAATTTTTGAATATGAAGTGTATCGATTTGCTTGGATATTAGATAAATTTTGAATGAGCCCAGTTCGAAAGCACAGGCCTATTAATGTACACTCTTCAAATCGGGTACCCTCTACTTGTACCCCTATTAAGGTCTAGTATGTACGGTACAATATAAACTGTTAATCCAAAGTCTTCAATTTCTAACATGCAGACTTCATCACCCAAAATCAAGCCAATTAGATGATATAACCAACAGGTGACGCATCAAATTTCAAACCAAGCTGGCATTTTGTCTATTAAATCTCTTATGTGGTGGGGGGGCCTATCACAAATGCAGCAGTCTACCTTGAGCACACTTCCATTAGTCGTATTTCAGCTGGGGTGTAGGTGAGGGTCCTGTTGTCCTTGACCATCACCACACTGTCCAAATCAGGACACTCGGGACATATCATCTCTCGTACTGATAACTTACTTGTGCCCTCATCCACGTCACCTCTGTATCTTGATGTGCTGGAATCTTCCAACTCTATCTGTTAGCTTTCCGATTTTGTTAGCTCTCAGATTTCACCAGAGCAAAACGACGCTCTTGCTGTTAGGTCGAAACCTGCTACAGCCTACATGAATGTGGGCAGCACATGGAAATGCTTCTGACTTCTGGGCCCCCCAGTGGGACATTCTTTGGGTCCCCATGTGCACTGGGGCTAGCAATAGATGCCCAACCAGAGAGTCCCCAACTCCCCACTGATCTCAAGTCTCAAACAAAACCTAGACCACGGCTGAAATAAATAGTGGGTCATACGGCAAGGAGAGATCCAAATCCAAGTAACCGTTTGAAAGAACAGTGGTAAACTTGGATTGAAGTGGCTACGCTACCTACGTAGTTCAATTATTGAGGGACTGATGCTGTAATAGCTATCGAAGACGGCCAACTTCTTTTTGGCCTTACTCTTTACCCTTTTCTTTCTCAACTGTCATTTTATTCAGTACGAGCGTTGTTTCAGTCGAGGACGTAATCACTTTGGGGCCTAGCTTCTTTGGTCGCATTACATGCGTAAATCTACTGTTCCTCGTATTGGATATTATCATCTTTGTAACTGCATGGCCATTCTCATCTGTTTATTGCTATATTTATTGTTTAACTTTTGGACCCATTAAATCATGTCAACTACCTCATTTCGTGTCCATTTTACTACTGGTGTGAAATGTGAATGTTCTTCTTATTGCATACAGCCAAAACTGTCTTAATCTTCTTTCCCTGGTTTTATCATCGACTGAGATTATTACTAGATTTTTACGTAAAGACTCTTCAGATTCTATATTCTGTGATTTTTTTCACTCTTCCTTACGTATAGACTTCCGTCACACTTTTTTTTTTTTTTGATGTTTTCTTTATTGTCTAAAACTTGGCTGTACATGTACAACATTATTGGACTCGTAGCAATTTTATAATATTTTCTTTTTTATAACTGGTATTCTCATGTCACACAAGAATACTGATGAACCTCTCCATCTGCCCTTCAATCATACAATATTCATACTTGCAACATCCTATCCAATCCCCTCCTTTGTTAAAACCAGAATAATTGAAGGAGTTACATCGAGATGTCTCTTATCATGAACTATCAAAGCAAGATAAAAAAATGAAAATGACAATTCAGGATCCATATTCCTAAGGGCTAGACAAAAAGTTTCAATGTAGGCTGCCAACTTGACACTACCATCCCATCCCATCCCTTATTCAGGCCTGGGACCAACATTGTAAGATAAGTTGTTGCACCATTTCCAAGCTGTTTCTGCTGGTATAAAGCTCATGGCATGCACCAACCTGACACTACCATCCTCTATTCAGATTTAGGGCCAACATTGGAAGATAAGTTCGACCATTTCCAAGCTGTTTTCTGCTGGTATAAGGCTCATGACATGCCCGCTCTCAACCCCAACCCCAATGGATGCATTCTCCGAGTCTTATCAGAACTCAGAACTAATAAAAAGGCCAATACCCAATATTGGTCCAGCTATCTGGGGTCTTGGAAGGGGTACATTGGATATGGTTCAAACTTTTTTTCACACAAAGTGGCTGCCCTTAGACTTGAACGTCCCACGCCGTCATGCATGACAGCCCAAAATTTGCATTTGTACAAGGCTCATTGATGGCTAGTTGGCTACAACTCCAAAATACCAATCCTTCTTGTTTGGATTAACATGGGTTATTAATGCACCTACTAAACTATGCAATATTTTTCCTCAGTCTCCAAATTGGCAGCACATTGAACTTTGGGCATTATAGACAACCATTCCATTCCTGCTGTAATAGTTTGACATGTAGTTTTGTAAAGTGGGTTAGACCACAAGCAGCACCCCCTAGCAATGACACCATGCATGTCCGGAATCCTTAACAGCACAGAGGCCAGAGTAGAGGTGTAATTGTTCTTTGCCAAAGAAATTGGTTTGATCCTTTGTATGCTTTTCTTTTCATGAATTCACTGCTGAGTCTTGCATTTGTGCTACAGCGAGAGAATGCTTAAATGGCACTACCCAGATAAGGATAAAACGGGAGAAGTGGGAGAGAATGCAAGTAGTGTATGTGAGTTGCTCTCTTTTCTTTGGCTGGCAGACTGTATCGAATTCATCTCTGTATTTGGCTGCAGTTACCTCTACAGAAGATTGCTAAACATGCAAAGGTCACTAGTAAAACACTTAGGAGCATAATGCAAGAAATTATTGCACTGTACACCCACAGCCTGTAATATTTCTTATTCACAAATATATAAAATAAAAATCTTAAATCTGCCAATGCAGTTGAGGGGAAAAAAGGAGAAAAAAAGGAGAAAGATCTAGGTAGCTTCTGATCCAATATATATTCTTAAACTTGAACCTCTTAATGCAAATAATGATACATGTATTGTAGATACCTAAGTTGACTTCAGGCGTACCTGTCAATTGGCAGCGATTGGTGTTCAATCCAATCAATTGTAACTATATAATTGCTGCCTCACTACATTAGCCCTTTCTGTAAAAGCAAAACAAATACCTCCATGTTGAACCCTGCAGTATTTGCCAAGCAGCAGCCATATTCCGTACCATTTATATGCATTACTTTGTATTTTGATGCTTACCACCCATTGAATTGCGAAGAATGGAGGAATCATCAAGGTTTGGGTCCTGGGCACATCATCTACATGAAGCGTTCACCACTGTTTTCACCTGCATTACTTCTTTTTCAAAATTAAGTTGGCAGAAGTCCATGAAATAATCAAGTTTGGAACCTACAGACAACTCAGTTGACATACCTCTTGCGCTTGCTCTTAAGAGCCGTGGATGATGATGGGTTACTATGCCAGTTTCTCTTTCTTTGGTTGATGAACCAGTTATTAATCTGCTTTAATTGCAAGCCTGTTTCTTGTACCAACCTAGCCTTGTCCTCCTCCTGCAATAATCCAGAAACCCAGTAAAAAATTTGATAAAGCCAGTTGAGTTACAATACCAAGGCAAGCCACACTCACCGTTGGGTATGGCCACTTGGAATGAGACTGCCACCAGGCTTTCAAGAGAGAGGTGGTGTCCCCAGGGAGCTTTCCTGCTCTTCTCTTGCGTAGAATCTCCTCCCTTATATCCACAATTTTCTCCTTGTAACCCTAAAAGATGGATTGTTGATAAGCAACCTTAAACAAGCACAATAGCACATTACCAAATATTTTAACCCTGTGACCTTACCTGTTTCAATTCATGCTTCAGCTCTTGCCTGACACGCTCCATCAAGGACCTCTCACTCTCGGTTGGAATAAGAGGACCAAAACCCATGCTGTCTGGCCCATCCAAACCTCCATCAAACAAGTTGGGATCACTATCTGCCTGGTCATCATCATCGTCTGACATTGTTGCACCTGTGCCTTCACCTGGCGAGACGCCTGTTCATGTAACATGATAAGAAAATTTCAATAGAAAAAATTGTTGATCATTAGGAACTGTTCACAAAAGAACATGTTGAATTGACTGGTCAAGAAAATCACCGGATGATGCTCTACAGTAAGAACCAAAATGTAAAGAATTCAATCAGCATCTTCCACTAAACTGGCATGCAAGACAAATAAAACTAAAAGTTGACAAGCAACCCCAACAAGAAAGAAAAGTAGAGAAACACTGTATCTTGAGAAGTTGTAATTAAGAACCCAAGAACAAGAACTGGAAACCATACTTTGGAAATGAGTGGATGCATTATTCCAAGGCATGAATGGGTTATGCCCTAAGGGCTGCAAATGAAGCTCAAGGAAAAGTCCTCTAATACAACCTCAAATAATCAAAATCATAAATAAATAAATATATATATATAGGCTAAAATATTCTTCTTTTGATAAATAATTTTGGCTCAACTATTTCAACATAGATTCTCCATGTTTTTTTTATTTATTCATTTGAAAACATCATCATCATCTACACCTTCTCCCAACTATATGAGGTCAGCTACATGAATCCTGTTTTACCATTCCATTCTGTTTAGTGTCATATCCATTGTTAAATAATTTCAAAATATGAAAGTTTTATTTATGTATTAAAAGAAGCAAACCCAAGTAGAAGTATGTCGTATAAAAGACTAGTAAGGAATACAAACTGAAAATCTAAAGGGAAGGAGAATCATAAAATGAATTCCTTACTTGTCCCTACCTTCATCAAGCTCTTTCTTATTTTTTATCCAAATCTTCTAGATAGCCATACAAACTATTATACCAGCAAACCCAAAGGAAATGAAACAAAAATAAATAAATAACAAGGAGCAGCACTTAATCTAAACTACATCCTTCAATTCATCATGATTCTTTAATAGTAGTCTTGAGGTAATTTAAGAACTTTAACACCAAAGAACTTCCACAATGATATTCTGCATGATAATGAACTAGTTGCAACACTCTTTAAGGCATCTCTCCCTCACCACAGCTCCCAATTCAAAATCACAGAGCAGCAAATTGAATTTCACAGGATGTCTAGTGGGCCCCACCGTGAACCTCCCTACCCTTTCTTTCTCCTGTATCCCCTACCAACCTTCTAACCAAGTACCATGTACCTAAAAAATGATGCTGAGAACACTTTATAAAGAGTTTTTACTGGCTATTGCTTCTATTGAAACTAATGTGATAGTTTAATCAAATTACCATACAGAAAGTGTACACTACATAGAAGTTATAGTAATGGTAAAAATGTCGAATAGATCCAGTTGAACAATTAGAAATTATATAAATAAAATGTGAATCATCAATTGCAATTAATACCATAATAATCAGTAGGAAAATGCCATAAAACATACACTGATCATGTACTTTCTCCATTGTAGTGTAAAAGATGTTCTCATTCTTTATATAGACTAGGAGTCTAGAACTTTAAATGTTATTTGTAAGAGAACACATTAAAAAAATATACATCTAAGAGGGATTTCCAAAGAGTTGGCTCTAACATAAACAAAACACATCAAACACAACAAACCACTGAAGGAACAATGCCAATTAAACAGAGGAGGATCCTTGGTGGTAGTCAAATTAGTTATGTCAGAAAACCATACATGACTTGGATAGTTATCAGAAAACCATCAGAATTAGTGAACACCAAGTACCACTACTGTACCATTCTGATACAAAAAAAAAAAGGATCTCCATCAATTTGCAAAGGATTTGGATTCCCATCTGACAAAAAACTTCACTACAGAATTGTGCGTGAGTTGGGAACATTTAAGAAGGATATTTGGCTACGTAAAAACTAAGAATAAATTCCTATATTCAGGAATGCTGATACTGGTTCCAAAGGAAATTATTTAGAGGTACAAGTGGGTGGAATAACAATTAAAGCATAAACTATCAACTATAAATCGCAAACAACTAAAAGCACCATGAACATGAAATAAGAAAAAGAAAAGTCTCATATTAGAAAATGTTTTATAACCCCTACAACATACTATTCTTATGTTACTTGCAATCCATCAAAGAGTAGAGATGAATACTATAAATGAAGGTCACCTGTTAGGCTTTGTAGAGACTGCTCAATCTCCCAGCAAGCCATTACTGCTTCCATTGCATGGACACGAACATGCTGCTGCAGTTGTTCTTTGAAGGAACACAGCAGTAAAACATAATGTGTCTACATGGCAAAGAAAGAGAAGATAATGAAAAATCTGACAAAATGATTATTTAAGGTATCTAAACAAAAGCTTGTTAGATTTAAAATAGAATTGGGATAAATGCATCAATACAACCATAGCATACATGTGATGCTTATAACACAAGCCATGGTATAGATGGGGAATTTCATATAAACCTTTTCTTCTAATCAGTACAAATTTATATATGCCTAATTTGATCATTAAATGAAAGGAGGACAAAACAACTAAATATCATTATTATATGGATGAAATTTTCCGAAGAAAAAAGAAGGCAAGCTGAGGGCCATGTATAAATGTTCATTAGGCACATGCTTTACTTAAGATGTAAAAAATGCATGCATCTTCTCTTGCTTCATTAGCACCTTACACTTCAGACTTGAACCTTGTGGCACTTTGGCAATACCCCTTGTCGAGGCACACCTTGTTGCTTGAACATCAAACACCTCTACAAACATTGATTAGAGGATTTCAGACAGCAAACATTAAGAAAGCCAGAGCTTTAGTTAAAACAAAAACCTTGAAACCTATGCTGAGAATACAACACCAATATTTTTACCTACTTTTTCATGTCAGAATATAGCACTGTGGCATCATTTTTCTGCACTCAGTCTAGTACCATATCCTGACCAGAGATTATGGGAAGATGGTCCTGGAAAGGTCTAATCAATTAAGATTGCATAGCCTTGAAACAGCATCCAAGTTGATTATAACAAACATTTTCTAGATCCACATTCTCTTTTTCTTTGTTATTTTTCTTTTTTCTTTTTATGGTTTGTGGCCTTGGACATTATAGCCAGATCCTTGCACATCCGAGTTGGTTTTGTTTAATTGATATCTTCTTCCAGTTGCTCAATTGCACCAGTTTATGCATCAACCATGATATTTTGCTTACTTGCATGAAATTTCAAAGACTACCACATAAAATGTTTTGCAGTGCTTAGAGTTACAGTCGGGTGTTCAAGCATTAGAGTGATGCACACTGAGCAACAATGATAGCAATTGTAGTCATGGCCAAATCAGCAAGGATGCATTTGACAGAGCTTAGGAACACATTAATTTGGTATGAGTCAAGCCAAGCAATTGACACCCCAAATCCATCAGACAATGATAAAAAACATCATTTAGTTTTAATAAGATTCAATGTTTTGCACTTTAAGGATCTAGTCACTGGTTTTAACCATGTCAGTTATCTGCCTCAGAAGTTCATGTGGCTTTATAATTGACCACCACCAAGATCATTAGATAAGCCCAAGGGGCAGAAAAACAAAAAAGAAATGCCAACCCCAGCAAGCACAGAGAAAAAAATCTCCTTACAATATTAATAATTATAGTATATCATGAAAATGTTTATCCACAGTTGCAACATTTTTTATGTCCCATCATATTCATTTCTAATCATCTCCAGTGTGCAATGTTTTATCCACATTTTCTGATTGAGTTCTCATTTCTTTTTCTATCCCCAGCATAATATTGGAATCATAATATGATTTCTTTCATCTGTTAATTGAATTTATTTTATTGATTCATTAAAATGGTCCAGGCTTATGGGATACAATATATCAAGAAATATAACATGGGGAAAGAAATCTAATACATTTGGAGCAGTCAAAACCTAATAACCGGGAAAAAGCAGAGATTCTATCAAGACTCAAGAACTGAACACCTTCAAGGATCCAAATTGAATTCCACTTGACCAATAAACAATTTCTGTCATATGAAATAAATCTTAAAACTCAAGCACCAAGTTCACCAACAGACCAAATTTTCTATTAAGTAATGTAGTTAAATATGAAAAGGTTTCCCTTGGAAAACAAGTCTTCCTCAAGATAATTAAAATTCTAAAGGAAAATTTCACAGAATCATACAAAATAAAATCACTATAATGCGGTTTTTATTTGCCTTTCCTTTTGGTACCCATGTACATGGGTTTTGAGGATGGGGTGTCTAGTAGTGCTTATGTAGAAACTATCTATAAGAAATAAATAATAAAAGATAACTGAACACATAACAAGAAATATCATTAAATACCTAAATTTAATTCTGGAAAGGCTTAAAACTTTTGAATCCCCAAATTATTTTCGGGTTGAAACAACAAGCCTCAAAAAAATTGTAGAAGTATCATTTTTCTATCTCAGAATGGGCACTAAAATGCACTTAAGTATAAACCAGAGGAGGAGAATAAATTGCAATCTATGAAATCTAGTTATGGTGTTACTACAGGATTTGAATTTCAAACCTTTTCTTCTTGTGTCGTTTCATCTCTGCTTTGGCAAACTCTTAATTTGGCTTCCAGCCTATCCAATACTCTATTCAAATCTTTAGAGATAAGTATATTGCTTTGCCATGGATCAAATTCATCATCTGCATATTGCCAAATTTCATGTGTTCCAATGTCAACACACTACCTTCCTCATTTTTTTCAAAGCTTATTCAACCAGATTTCTGGGGCAACCAAGTAATTCAACCATGTCTGTCTTCCTCATTTCCTTAGTTTTGCAACATTTGTGCGAGTTTCTAAATGGGAAACTCCCCATTCAAGAGGCAACCTAGTTGAAAATCACCTACCAGAAATCATTCAAGAGGTAAACTAGTTGAAAGTCACCTACCAGAAATCATTCAAGAGGTAAACTAGTTGAAAGTCACCTACCAGAAATCATTCAAGAGGTTAACTAGTTGAAAGTCACCTACCAGAAATTCCGTAGCTATTGAACATGAAATTTCCTTCAGAAGTACCTCAAATATTTAATGAGACAGATTCTAACTGCTGCATATTTTCTGAAATTTCTTGGGAAAATTGCTGAGCATAGGAAGTTGAGAGATTGATTTCTAGTGCAATCTGTTTAACTTGTTTAGAGTCTGCACCACGTTGCCTTCCTTCATGTTTGGACTTTGGACCACTTCCTCCACTACATGTATAGGTTTTTTCCTTCCCACTTGACAGGTAATCCTAAATTCATTTAAGTTTCCAACCATAAAGGTATATAACACTCAGTTCAGATGAAAGAGGATGCACCTAATTTCCTTGCCTCTTAATCCTTTGCTGCCATACAACAAGGTGCCAACAAGACTCGTTGAAGAATGTTTAGTTTCTACACTCTCCTCAACTGGACACGTTATACAGTAAACCATGTCTAGCAAATCATCTAGACTTTGGAACGGATCACTTCATCAAAGGCATTTGCGTTCCTGAAATACTGGATTCTCTACTTCATCTTAGGAGAATCATTATGCTGAAAGCATATAAAAATGCTAGCTGGATCAATATTCAACTGATAAAACATCTTCCATTTTAACCACTTCATCCTCCAACGAAAAAAGAGTGCCAGAGAGATCAAGAAGCAGAAAATGAATGATTCAAGACTCCGACTTCCTTCCTCCATTCTGTTAAGTTACCTCATAATTAACATTCCATTTCTTCAGAAAGACACACCATTTTCCAAATTAGCAACGTATCTGAATTTATCATGACAACCTAAAACAAGGTCGTAATTGGAGGCCCTCGAAGAACATCAAGATAAAAAACTGAATTCCGATGAAAGACTCCGGAGAAACAATCAATACTAAACAAAATAGTACCTTTTTGGGTTCAATCTCATAAATCAAACATATCACAAAAAGAAAAGATAGAAAACAAATCACAACAAAACAAAGAAACAGGGAAAGAAGAGCAGAGTATAGAACCTAACCATAAACTGATCAAGCTCCTTATCGTCGCCTACAAGTTGCTGATTACCATGTCCAAGCACTGAATACTTGGCGACGACATGCTGCGACTGCGCAAGCTGCGCATCAATCCTTGGCAACTGATCGACTGGAGTCGCAATGCGCAGGCACGCAACGTGCGCCGAAAGCAACTGCTCGTAAAGCGGATGCGCCAAAATATCAGCTTTATACCTTGCATTCTGCCAAGTACCAACGCCGTCCCCTCCACCGCCAGCTTCGCTCTCGGCCAACTCTCCACCACCGCTATTGTTCCCTTGATTTTGGTTGCTACCACTGTTTCTATTGTCATTATTAGTGTTCAAATCAGCTGAACCGTGCGACATCGCGGCGGCAATCATCGAGTCGCTTGACACCGGGATATCGTCACCGCCACCGACATCGCTAGTGTTCCGTTGAAGAATCGGCCTTGGTAGCCACTGGTTCGAAGCGGCAGATGTCGCCGAGTCTGAATTGGTCTGTAAGTGTAGAAAACTTCCATCAACATACTGGTTCTGCTGCCGGAGAATTGCGCTGTTTAGCCACGTCGGTCCACCTCCACCTCCTCCACCACCTAGCTGTGTTGGTTGTGGTTGTTGCTGCTGTGGCTTCCCCGCCGTCTCCATCATCAATCTCTGTATATCCTTTTGTTCTCTCCCAGTTCCTACGGCCCCATCCGACGAAGTCTGTCCTAGTTGTTCCGGTATCATACTCCTTAAAACCGCTGTATTTTCCCCCAAATGCTGCTCTGTGAAATGCTGCAGCGCCATCTCATGCGAGAGATGATTGTGAAACGCCATCTCTTAGCGTTTTCACTGCAACAATTTCATCTTTATCCGATTTTTCACGCCAGAGAGAGAGAGAGAGCTTCAACGAGATAGCGAACGACCAAGCGAGGGAAGAATTACTTTATTTACATATAGAGAACGATATATATATATAGGTACCATGCAGAGAGAGAGAGAGAATCCTGGAGAGAGAAGTTACACCTTAGCAAACGTATAGTAACATCGGAAAGCGGTTTTACGGGGTGGTCCGAGGTGGAAAACTGCTCGTAAAACCACTTTTCGGTGAGTACTGAATGCTAGAGTTAAAATGGAGAGTGCATATACGGCTACCGACGCCGCCGAGTTATATAAGTCTACGTGACAAAAGGATTGACAAAAGCACTTTTTGGCGGGGGCTTTTATCGATCCACGTTCGACGCGATGATCGAGTTACTAGATTGAACGGTTAGAGATTTATACACGTGGCTGTGTATGTGCTTCGATGTTCTTGGAGATGTCTTTGATGATACAGAACTAATGCCGGTAAGCGTCGATCTACAACCCAGCCGGTCGTCGGGAGGACGACGGGCTACAGTCGGTTGTCAACCGGTCGTCGACCGCGACACGAGAAATGTTAAAAACACCCGGGAAAAGGCTATCGAGTTATTACGTTGCTTGTCTCTCCGCCACTCGCGGACAAGGGCGTTCTAATCCGTCCGATGGACACGCGGCAAGTCTTGATCGCGTGGACCATTTGTGGGGACCAAGCTGGAGCACGCGCCTTGGTACAGCGAATAAGAATTAGACACGTGGACCGAAGCATCCGGCGTTTGGGACCTCTCGGGAATTTTGACTCCCCTTCACCCCCCACTCTACCTTATGCATAGGCCGAAAGCAGGTGGTCCCCACCTTTCCTATACTGCCAAGTTGTGGGGACCACCCGAGTTACTGTTCCAGCTCGTTTCGACTGCCATGTGTCTCCTTTTTAGATGGTCCCCAGCCTACTTGTTGCTTCTGCCGTCAACCCGACGATAATAAAATCTTTTCGCCGAAAAATAATTTTGAAATTAAAAAAAAATATCGAGACAAAATGAAAAATTGTACGTACAACGTAAAGTCTTTCGCTTACGAAAATACCCCTATGTTACCCGTATACCTTTTCAAGCTAGATGTTTCCATTCTGGTCCACCCTTGGCAAAATTACCTGAAATGCCCTTTCTGGTATTATATTGACGACAGAGTTCCATAGTACGGATTACCATTCTGGTTAAAAAGCGGTATTTACAGCACGAGAAGGACTATTTCGTCTCGTAGGATTTATTTGGTAATTTTACAGTTGATCTTTTCCTGTGCAAGCCCCGTGAAACTCGTGGAAAAGTGATTGATGAGGGGTATTTATGTACTTTGACAGAGATCAAGGGAAGGAAAAGATCGAATCTCACGTCTCGGGTCCCACACCAGCCTACTTGTTCACGATTGGAAGTTAAATGTCTCGTGTCAATCCTTTTCTCGCGCCACGCGTGCATACTTATTTCAGCGTCAGTCCTCTTTTTAAAACATTATTACGAAAATACCCTCCAGTTTCGACCCGAACGGATTTTGTCACCACACGTGTCAATACATAGAAAGTTCGTGCCCATGATTAGGTATCTATTGACCGAGGAGCTTTTATTTCGCTGCTACGATGGTCGGACGAATGCGTCCAACCACCTCTTGATTAATTGATTTACAAATTAAAAAAAGGGAGAATGGGTCATTCCGAAACCCTAAGTAAAAACCCTAAAACGGATACATACGATGGAGAATTCTGAATTTCAGCCTCCTGCTACTAGCTCTTTCCCCTATAAACCACATCCTGTCCGTGAATTTAACATCAATTCACGGTCAAGCGGGTTATGAAATTTTGGTCTGGGCTGATTGGTCATTCTTCCAAAATTAATTACTAAAAGCGTTTGATCGGATGCATATTCTCCGACCAGGTAGAGCCAAAGTTTTATATTTGATTAAGAGCATCTTGATTTAGGCTATGAGTGGGCATGAGCCATGTATCCCCATGTGGGTCCCACATAAGTACACCAGAAACAACAGAATAACGGTGGAATGGTTACCACAGAAAACGTAATAAAAAAAGGGTGTCATCTCTTCTATTAGAATAAAATAATTTGTTAGGTCTTTTTATAAAAAAAAAAAAGTATAATATTAATAAAGAAAGGGTGTTGTTTGGTAGGTCAAGATTTTTATTGATATTAAATTAAAATAAGATTAGTTAAAATTTAAATTAATACTATCGGGCTTTTTGTATGGAGTTAGGAATAAATCATGTAATAAAGTCTTCCTCCAAGCTTTTTATGTCTCTTGTCTTCTTGGGTGATGGTTTTATAAAAAAATGGGGTGATTGGATTTGGGAAGAAAGGCCAAAACTTGCACAGTCCTAGGAGGAGAAGAGCCTTAAAGCACACAAAGCAGGAGACAATGCTTCAATCTAAAACAACTTTGGGCATAACTCCACATGTGTGTGGAATAGATTGAAGCATTGTCTCCTGCTTTGTGTGCTTTAAGAGACCAGATCTGCTACTTACCCAGTGCGCCTCACATTGACCGTTAAAAACATTTCCTATGAATAATAATTTATAAGTTCCTAATGCATAGTAAGATGTTCTCCTCCTAGAATTAAAGGGAGAGAGAGATTCTTTGGTTTTGGCCACCATTGTCAAACTTAATACATGAATAGTTTTCAGCACATCTTTTGGGGCATCATAAACCCTAATCCTTATTGCTGAACTCTTTATGGATGCAATTGTCACATTTGTTTGCGCATGACAAGGGTGTAACCCCATGACGAGTCGATGTGCGCCTTATCTACATGCGTAACACTCCCGTTTCCTTATCGAAATAATTTAAAAAGCATGTTCTCACATGCAAACGAGATGTAGACCATTGGATGTGCATAGAAAGGAGGTGATGGTAGAAGCTGAAGCAAAGGAGATGTGAATCCAATGGTTGATAGCAAGTTCACAGGTAAGAACATGCTTTTTGGACTCAATTATTGAATTTTCTTTTTGAGGGGCTGTTTGTACTCAATGCATCCTTTCAAAGAGCAGCATTTGTATGTAAATGATTGTGCAAGTAAAAGAAAAAACAATGAGGGGCCAACTCTTACCATATTGGAGGGAAATGTATGAACAGAAGGTTTCTCAAAGTGGCAATGATAAAATGTTCTATAGTAGTTTTAGAGACATAATGACATTGATTGGATAAGTAGGTCCTACTTTGATGCTTTATTCATGTAGATGAGATCAGATGAGAAGATTGAGAGAAAGGTGATCATCGTGATTTTGTTCATGTTTGAGCATAGATGGGATAAATTTTGTGGCCAAGCTTGGTGAGAGCTCAATCTAGGATGCCTTTTAAAGCCAACCTTCTTTCACCTTATGCCTTATGTTCCTTTACAACCCCCCACTCAGTCCTCTTTTTGCATAACCAACTTAATTGGTACTTGTCAGTGGTCCCTTGAAGACCACAACTTGCAAATCCTTACCTTCTCTGTTCAATCAGTATCATTGCAACCCTAACCCCTTCCCACCTCTCTCTCTCTCTCTCTCTCTCAACTACCCATCTTCCAAAAAATAAAGGGAAAGTTGAAGGGTCCACCTGAATGACATTGGGTAGCTTCTTTCCTTCAAATGAACATATATCTAAGCCTCTAGAAGTGGGAGTTAATATTCAACAAAACTTCATACTCAATGTCCATGATGCCTTTGATCTTACTTTTGGTAGGAGGATTTAGGAGTAGTGCCAACTGTTGTTGGGTAGAGTTGGAGTAAACTCAACCTATTTGTTGAGCTTTAAAATGGGTTTCTATCAAGATAAGTAAAAGGTACGAACAGCCTGACCAGCTCATGTAGGGGACAGACTTATGTAGGAAAGAATCCAAGGATGTGAGTATGGTTCCATGTTTTTAACAGTTGCATGTGATGTCACACCTACACCATGGCTCATGGCTCATGGCTCATGGCTGAACTGAACAAATCAAAGCAGGAACACATACAGATGTTGCAGAAACCAAGTAATTAGAGAGCAGTGAAGCAATATATAAGGATACCCTTCATCAGCTTGATCAGAGCTATGAGGCACCCTTATCAACTGTAACCCATGAAAGAGGGATAGGGACCCATCAATGAATAAGCCCATTTACAGATTAAAAGCAGGATTTCACACAATTTCAACTGTGCATTTATATTGTTTTGACTGGTAAAAGAGTCCCTATTAAAGCTCAAAAGATAAAATGTAAAATCAATAAGGTAATGAAGTCATATAATCATGCTAATCTAGGTAGTCTCTTGGCAATAGGTCCCCAGTCCAGAGGGCCTCCTAATCATTACCACACTGCTCTACATGCAACAGAATGTTGTTAGTTGTATGTATAAATAAAGAAAAATAGAGGAACGATATAAAGGAATCATCCTTCTAATTAATTGGCTGGAGGTTTTATTCTTTTCTTTCACCTAAAGCAATAAATTATTCATACTTAAATGATCTCATTAGTCAACAAATAACATAACTGGCTGAAGAACAATCTGTTGATTTTGAACATTTTCGAATTGGCTGGGGACTAGACTAAAAACGTTCTGACAGAGTTAATTAGTTGAATTTGATTGAATCATGAACGTAGTAAATTAAAACCTTCAAAGGTATACGTGCTGGCTAGGCAATGTTTTGAAAGTTGGACCGGTTTGGAAGGATGAACCAGAAAAACCAAGAATTGGTGCAAAACAGAGAGAGAGTGTGTGTGGTGATAATCTTGAAGCAATTGGTCAACCAACAAATGGGTCAAAGTTTGGTGTTTGTGGGTGGTCCTGAGTACTAAGAGTCATCCATCACTTTTGTTAGACCTAGCTAATCTGGAGCTTCATGGGCTGTTATGAAGCCATGAACTCCAGGACATTCCCATGGACCATGGTTAGGGTTGCAGCTCCCACTATTAATGCATCCAACTGCAGTCTTCATCATAATCTTTGGTTCTTGCAACTACCTCCAACTCCTTTAGTTTGTCAACTTGATGATCTTAATTACTATTCTCATAGCTTTATTTGATGCTTACCAAGAGGACTCCTTAGCTGCTCGCTCTATATATGAAGGTACTGTCAGCAGCTCCTCTTCTTCTATTGATCTGTCTGAGTATCCCGACTGTAGGGTTACCAGAAATCTGATGGACAACCTAATATTTCCAATGACAGTGGTCCTGATCAGAGTGCATGTGGGGTGTTCACGTTTGTACACTCACCCTGTCGGATCTTCTAGAAAAGACCATTATCCATTGCTGGTCCTCACTATATGGGGTCATGGGAAGTGGGCCGGATATAGACCCGACATCCGGTTTTTTTCTTTTTTTTTAAATTTTTTTGTATGAAGTGGAAACTCTAAAATTTAAACCCATGTTTTCATGTTTGTCAGCCTTATTTTAGCATGGCACCAAGCAATGATTAAATTCTTTATATTCCACACTAGTTAATGACCCCTCCCTATGGGAATATGCAAAAAACAATGTATTCAGGCTGAGTATTCTTATTTGATTTAGGAAATAAATATGGTTTAATTTTTAATTAAACAACCCACTTTATTTAGAAGAATGGACCCCCCACCAATATAGTGTGTTTGGTTTAGCTTTCGTTTATTAAATAAATGTTTTTTACTTGATTTGTCTTTAAAATTGAGAAAAGTACTTAATAAACCGTTTATGGACAATTAGGCATCACATTAGTGGAACAGTGAAAACCGTTTGGGGAAGCATTAAAATGAAACTTCCCCCAATGGTTGATGCGCACATAAATAAAAATCCACTTTTGTAAATATTAATGCGTACAGGTGAATATGACGGGAAATATGCTAATTTACCGATGATATGACGGCATTTTAATAAACGCTTATCACAAAATGCCCATGAAACAAAACACACACATAGTGTCTTCAATTTATTGGGTTTAATTTGCACATAAAACATACGAGCTAACTTTCTAACTTGAATTAGCAAACAACATAATCTTTAGAGTTACAATTCAGCCCATGCCACTCTATGTCAATGATTAAAATATTGATACAAAACGGGATATTACACCAATACAAAATGTTATTGAAAACTTTAAAATTTTAAAATATACAGGATCATCTAATAACTATATAATTAAAAAAAGTTATAAAACAATGTACATCAGTCCAGTCATATCAATACATCGGTGTGTATCGATATTTTAATCCTACTTCTTAATATATAAATTTTTATATATTTTGACTTAAAATTTATTCACACCATTTTTCTGAGTGGAAGGCTTTCCATGTGTCTATGAAAAAAACCCTTTGTCTTAGTTTCGTAAGGGTCAATCATCAAATGGAGTAAAGAATCTGATTCAAGGACTGAATAAGTATATATAACCAACTGAGGGTTAGCTTGTTGGTATGTTAGCTGGTTTGTCCCGCAACCAGCACTTTAGAGAAAAAAGGGGTCAAGGGTGGTGCATGGCACGGAATACGAAAAAAAGAATAAGTATATATAAGCTTATGTTAGATCATACGTTAGGCAATAAGGAGGCAAGAAAGATGATGTCAATTGATGAATGTGGACCTATTACTCTAATAGGAGGTTTGGTCCATGGTTTTGAAAACCGGACTGGACCGGACGGCCAGACCAAAAAAACCGGGAACCGGTCACTTGACCGGATTTGTTTTTCCTCAAAATCATTGATTTTGGTCAATAAATCGCTGAACCGACCGATTAATCGTTCGAACCATTCAAACTGTTTTGACTGTTTTTCAAATTTTTTATTTTTTTTGTCAGAATAAATCAACCGTTTAGATCAAACGGTCAAACCATTTGAACCGGTAACCAGACCCCTGACCGATTCAGTTTTAAAAACCGTGGTTTGGTCACCCTACTCTTCAGATGGAGCACAGTAACAATCCATGAGATGGGTTTCCCATCTATTAAACAATCATACCTTAACATGTGAGGCATTTTAGTTTGGAGTAAATAGGTATCTCCTATTTCAATTATTTTTCACAACCTGTTCGAAGGACACACAAGAAATAATAACTCCAATTCTTGGGCACTTGCCCTTATTGCTTCTTTCAATTGATAATATGCCCACTTTTTCCACAACTTTGATCACAAAATTCACTTGCATATGCCTTTCCAGCATCATAGTCATCAATTGATGATTTGAGAAAGTTTACTCAGATGTTGAGAACCTGTTTATTAGAGAAGAGCTAAAGCATGGAAAAAACCTGGTTCAAATGCTGATAACAAGAACTGAGTCTTTTTTGAGCAACTAGGAGTCACACAGCATGCCCACAGAATAGCTCACAAAGAAGGAGAAGAAGAAAAAAGGGGTGCTGTGATTTTCGTTTCTATACCACAGAAGGAACAATGGTTATATCTACTAATGTTTTCAAGGCACAGCTTTGAATAATTCAAATACCAAAGTTTATGGGTATGTGTGCTAACTGTATTTTCAACCATGATTTATTTATTCCAATAAATTTTAAATTTATGGATCCCTCTTTTGCTATTGGTGCATTATCTTGACTTGGATGGCTGGATATTATTGCAAGACATTTATCTCTTAGGATATGATTCATGACAGAATCTATTTCTTTTTTCAGGACTTAAATCCTATAAAATCGCATGTCCCTTCATTGTCAATTGGCTTAACCCCATTTGTGCCCCATGTTCTACTGTCTGTGGTCCTTCTGGTTTCTGTTTGGCATTAATTGATGCGTTTTACGAGCATTCTGTCACACCAATTTGCCAGATCAGAAAAAAAATGCCATTAAATCATATTTGGCAGACTCTTTTTTGGGAAAAGAAAACCATTGCTCAAACAATTATACTTAGGGTTTAGTGAGAGGGGGTGATCTTGAATCATAAAAAATTATGTTTCTTGAATCACCTTATGTGATGTGGCACATTAAAAATTTGAAAGCTTTTATGTTAAAACCATAAAACATAATAAATAATAGACCCAAAACTTCTCAAGCCATTTTTTCTCCAAACCTTACTTCTTTTACTCTCTATCCCATTGTCTTGTTTAACTTGGCCCCCAAAAAGAAAATTCCTAGCTCCACCACTAGCTAAATCTCTCCATGAGTGACAACTGACAACATACAAGTACCGGCGATGTTCCTGTGTGCAGTTACAATGTGCTATACGGTTGGAGTGGGGAGTGCTTTGTGGAGAGCCAATCTTATCTGATACCTTTATTATAATGAAAATATTTTAATAATAGAATCAAAGCACTAAAAATGCCAAGTAAGCATATATCTCTCCACCAAATGGGGGTCCATGACCATGGCATTCCGGATTCCTTGTGAAATGCAATGGTTCCAAACAAGCTCCAAATCCATCTTCACCTTCTAGACCTACATCAACTTCCAGTGGAACAACTTTTTTTCAGCTTGATGGTGCATGGGGCCCCTTGCCTAGCCTATTGGATCAGTGAGCTTCCAATTAAAGCTCCATCTTCAAATGCTAAGGTCTCCTGCTCAGCTCTAGAGAAGATTCAAAGTATGATATGCATGCACATTTAAATTGTATGATACTATTTAATTATTATTAATTTTTTAGAGGGTTCGACTATCATATGGAAAGGATATGATATCTGAAAAACTTTTGACCAGTTGGCTGGAATCATAAACGTGATAGCCAGTCAGTTGTTATTTATCAAAATTCATGGATGAGTTTTGATTGGTCAAAACTCTTCTCATGCCATATATTTTCTGCACCATAGATATACCATTTTTTAGATGATGTTCAAGGTTTGGTAAGATGGGTGGGGGTCTAATTATTAAACCTAAAACCCTCTTAAATCCCTCTAGATAGTGTATCAAAAGGTTCAAAATTTAATACATATTATATAATATGCACCAATATGTTGTGATATTTTGAACCTTGACTCCAAACATTCCATCACCACAAGGAGTATGTAAGGAACACGCAATCCTTAAGTTTATAATACTTCCAAGTATCAACATCCAAAGTCCTTGCCTTATAATTTTGTTTGTGAACCAACTTGTTCCTCTCAAGTCTTTAGAGGAAAAAATTGAATGATACAAGATATTTTGACTCGTAACAACAAACAGTCTTAGTTTGGTTGCAAGAGCGAGTGTTTACCAATTACCAAAGAGTCGGTCAAGCATCATAAAGCCCACATAGTTGCCAAGGGCTTTAAGCAAAGCAACGGTGGGACCTTCTCCTCTAACAATGACAACTTGGGTCCTGTCTTTAAGCGCACAATCTCTTGTTGCTTCTTGCAATTAGCCACTTCCTCGATTAAATATTCAAAATGCCGTCTTGCTTGATTCTTCCTCTTTCCAAAGTCCAGACTGTATCTGTCATTTACAAGTCTTTCTGTAGCCCCAACACCCCCCCCCCCAAGTCAGCTCCTTGGCCCCAGTTAAAACTTTCAACTTTGTCAATTTTCACTGTTGACACTCTTGTCAATTCTAAGAGAAAAAGAATCAATCAAATTTTTAAAAGATGATCATTTCCAGCCACTAATTGTTCTTGCTTGAAATATGGTCAAGAGAACTGGCATGATATCTTTTTCTGTCGACAAGATAAGAGCTCTACAGCCTTGATAAAACGTGGGCCAATTTTGTTTGGATGATGGGTAGCCTTGGTTGCAGACAAATTACCAGACTGCACTACTGGACCAGAGAATTCAGGAACCAGACCCTGGTTTGATTCAATGCCTTGACAATAGATAAAAACCCTACTGAACCACAGTTTGCTGCAACATAGCCAGTCATATAATTGAACCAGGACATGATTAGGTCGCTCCTTCTGATAAATGTTTCTGATGAACCATGTCATAGGTCGATGCATGGGCACAAACTGGAATGGAGAATTCATGGCAGCATGCAAGATTATTACATGTGGCAAACACAAACTGTTTCCAGACATTCACATCCTCGCCCTTCAAACTTTATGGGTTGTACAGTGTACCAACTTGGGAATTAAGAGATTTCTGGCTTCTCTGTCATCATCAAAATTTAAAATAAGGATTTTTAAGTGGTTCCAGAGTCCAGACTTTGTTGCAGTGAAAGATTCAACTATTTCCTTGACGAGACAGCCAGTGCTTGCTTTCCTGAATTTATGTTTGAGGCTCATCATCAACAGATAGAACCAGTACAAATTCCTTTATGCAATAGCCCTCCTTTAGTCTCTCCTCTTTCTTTTTCAGACTGAAATATTTCATCAATTATTTTTGCATTTGTTATGGTATAAACTTTGCTCTTTCTGCCCCTTTCTATTTTACTTTGGCGTTTTCTAACTGAAATACTTCATCTGGGGGAAAAATCATTCTATTTTACAATCTGAAAAGGATTTCTGGTATGAACAAAACCTTGTATCTCAATTTGTTTTTTGAAAGAAGAAATCATAAAATCACCAAAATGGTAACTGTGGAAGCTTTTTTAGGTACGCTATCTGAAAGCCAATTTTGCAGTCGTAAATATTCGATGTGTTTGCGTTGCAGGTGTAAATGTGCTTTTTTTTCCAAGGAACTCAAAAGAAAAAGGAGAAAGTAAACTTCAGAAGGCAACAGTTTTGAAGCACAATGTTTTCTACCGTGTAAGAATAAAATAAGACCAGAAACAGACATACAATATGTACTACTACATAGACAAATATTCACAAGTACAAGCATTGTGACCAACAAAATGAATGCTCTTTCTCCTTGGCGTTCCTCCTCAAAAAGAACCGACTGATGGGTTTCAGAGTAAGTGAACACTCTGAAAATTCTTACAGAAAAGCCTGTGAAAACAGAGGAGTCACGTCAAGTAATTAGTATACATCTACTGAGATAAATATGATGAACTGCTCAGAGTTAGTGATAAGAACTGTCTTTAGAAGCTTGTTTCATATTACAAGGCACCCTGAACTCTTTCATTTCCTAGTAACTCAGATGAATTTGATGAATTGATGAATTCATTAAGATGGTTTGTAGGTGGGCATGGAAGCCATGGCCGTGATGTCATCTCGTCCTGAAAGCAAATCGAACCAAAACTCTGAGGATGTAATTACGTGTGAAGATAGAGAACACTACTATCATCAACGTCATTATTGCTATCACCTTTTCACTATTCAAAAAGATTGTCTGGTGGGGATGGGTAATGGACAGACTAGTTAAGTACAATACTGGGACGCATGGTCTGTATTCAGTGCGTTGCCAACTGCCAACCATACAATGGGCCTTCCAGGGAAATCTTCTAAGTCTATCAACACGGTTAAGTGATCAAAACCATCCAATCAAGCAGGGTTTCTTTTTCTTTTTTGGCATCATTGGCTGGCTCTTTCTGAACTGGACAAACAAATCAAATAAAACAAACAGCTTGCCTCATCGGATCATGCTAAGACCTGTCCGCGTGCCATACGCGTCTATGTTTGTAGATAGTCTTGTTTATTAGTACTAGACTGTAGCTAAATTTATCTAGCGGAACTGGCGTGATCTTGTTACACTAATAATAATGGTGGGGAAGGAAACAAGAAGAAAAACAAAAAGGGAAGAAAGAAGAATACCTACTAATCGTATGACGGCAATTTGGTACCTATTAAAATGAAAATAAAATGCCAATTTGGTGAGTTGGCTCAACACGGGACGGCTAAGAGTTATGATATCCCATCAAGGAGACATCATGATTTCATGACCTAAAAACACAAGTTCTGGTTAGGTAAGTTAGATTTAATTTGCTACAATATTTTTTGATACTCAAAAATTCAACCCCAACTGAACTCAACAAAACCTTGTCCAGACTCCCAACTACATGGGGTCAGCTTCATTATCACAAGTTGAACTACAGATACATGGACACAAGATACCCAAGAAAAATTACTAATTTACAGGTGCTAAGAGAAACTGTGTATAAAACTTGAAATTAATTTACTTTGAACTTTTCACTGTAATCTGTTTTCACCAAGTGGAGAGTATGAGGTCTCAGAATTTGAGAGTAAAATATGAAATTTGCAATGAAAATGAAGGTAACAAACACAACTTCTGCATTAGTCGAACTGGAAGCACGTGGTTTAGATATACTGCAAGAAAGGATAAAATAAATTGATCATATGATTATTTTCTTTTTCACTCTCAAGTTTTCTACTTGAGGCTCTAAAAGAGAACCTTTCAGTTTTGGGGGTACTGATAGAAATTGTCTCAAGACAATGTCAAGAAAACTTATGAGGTGTTAATAAAATATGCAAGAAAGACAGACTTGAGTTAAGTGAAAAGAATCATTGGAGTCAATTGATTTGGAGAAGAAATATATCTGCAGTTAATACCATGACACAGATCCCTGTGTCTGGAAAAGGAAGCAACTTTGTGGAGTCAGGGAGCGAACTTAGGAACTAGCTGCTAATGCAGCACACTAGACCTCTAACAAGAACATTGAGGCCACCATCTATCTTCCCAATATTAAAATGTAAGTTACCAGTGCTCAACCAACAAAAATTCCTGGTGAAAATGTTGATGAAGCCATTACCTATCTATCTTCTCAATATTAAAATGTGAGTTACAGGTTCTAGTAACCTATCAACTAATTTAGACCTGAGAAGTTGGCCACAAAGTTCCTAAAAGGCCACAGAACCAAATAAAAACAAGTGATACGTCCCACATATTGTAGCAACCAGCTATGAAACAATAGAGGACAGATACAGATCTCTCTTAAAAATCATGATAGGTTATGTTCAAAGTGCAGAAAAAGTAGAAGAGTGGATTCAGGTAGAATCTCTAAAATAGCTTAGGACAAACACCCTAGAAGTAAGATATATCAATTCTCCTCAAAGCAACACATACGGTGAAATTTGAAAAGGTTTAAGCTGAGGTTTCAGGGCATAAAGTTCAGACTGCCTGGTCTTGAAAGTTTAATTTTATATTTAAGGACGTGGAACCATAAGAGGGAATAAGAATTGCATAGCCTGAATCATTACCAGGGTTCTAGGGGATTTATGCCAAGGAATCAGGGTATTGATTATGTGTGCATTTTGAGTGTGGTCATAGGACAAATTATTAGGTTTGCTAAGGTGAAACAAAGGTATCATCTAGCTCAGCTGGTAAAGTCAGTGGTTGTAGTTCCCACTGACCTGGGATAAATTCCTGCTTTCACCCTCCCCAAGGACCATTGCTTGGTGAAATGGTAAAATCTTGAGCTAACAAACATGAGAACACGCAGGTTCAAGTCTGAGAGTGTTCAGTGCAAAAAAGGCCAAAGGTTAGGTCCATATCTACTCCACCCCTCCCAAGGCCCTGGATATCTGGGACCAACATTGGGTAATCTCCCTTTTTGTTGAAGGAAATGTGATAAGAAATGGAATAAAGGGAGCTGTAATTATCAAAAATGGAATGGTAAAGGACCCACTAATTGTTGGATACTTGGATTCTTGTCCAGGTTTCTCAAAATCAATAATATCAATAAACAAATAATGGACTGAACATGTGAACTTTTTCCAGATTCTGAACATATTCAACTTAACTAAGCCTTGTCCCAACCATATGGGGTCAGCCATGAACAGATTCATGAAATAAAATTAATTTGAGTAAAATGAATAAGGTAAAATGATAGCAAAGAGTATCAGCACTTGGACTAACTACATGTTTGATATACCAGTGTAAGACACAATATGTGCTGATAAAACACTGAATATTGCAAGGACACTTTCTAGAATATATTTTGCAGCATTAATACTTTCAAAATATGTAAAACGGTATGCTAAACAAATCATACCACAAAAAAGCTAACATATTTAGAGGTTTAATTAAACTTGGCAAGAAATAAGTTCTGAGTAACACTTAGCTTCAAAAGCCTAGAAATAGAAGCATGATTAGCAATATCAAATGTGAAATCCATACACATATTCACCTTGAGGATCTTAAGAATGTAAGGACATCCCTATTTCCTATATCTATGTGTCTTGGTATCCATATCTGGACATCTTAGGAAAACTATTAAGAAATGATGAAGCCACAACAGTGCAACGAGGCTCATTTGGTTGCACAGGAAGTGTAATAAAATTGTATGATTTTCTATATTTGGTTGTCTGAAGAAGCCACTCCTCAAACGTGATATTTTCTCAACCACAATTTATTTTCTAAAATGTGATTTTAATTCTACCTGATAAAAAAGGATGCCTATTGACAGTCCACTTCTTTTTAATTTTTCCAATAAATTTGTCTTGTTGGTCAAGCAAGGACTGGAAAATATAAAAGTATTGCCTTCCAAAAGAAGAAGATACTAAAACATCAACTTCCCCCTTTTTGAACTTTCCATGCAACCCAACAGAATCTTGTTGTGTAGAGGGCGCAACATAAGAAAATAAAACAAACAATGAAACAAACCAAAAAGAAATAAAAAGAAAAGAGAATAAGGAAAAGACTTTCTGATTACTGTCTTTAAATTCTGCAGAAGAAGCAGAAACTGAGAAGAATGCCCAAAAACAAGCTTCCATCTAGACATTCTATCATACATGGGCCTTAAGATTGGACTTGAAACTGAGCACAGATTAGATCTCTACTTGGGCCTAATTATGGGCCAATGATTGATCCACCATGTAGGCCTCTATTGCACTTGTGTACTTGCCAGGGTTCAAATCCAGGCAGCCCATGTTTAGCCAAACAATGTGTCCATCTGAAACGAGCAGTTCAGATTGGATGCTAATCAAATAAATTCTCTGATCACCTGTTGGAGACTTGGAGTAACCAAGGACCCTCCTTTTTCATCTCCATCCAGCAAAGGACCACCTTGCAATCCCCTTCAACCATCATATTTGACCATCCCAGTTTCAGTGAATGGATTATTTTCAGACCACGGAGAAGTGCAGTAATCTCAGATTTTAGAGTATATATATATATTGTTGCTATATGTATTGTGCTGCTTGAAGTATGTGTGATGGCACATAGTCTATGTGAACTAGATGCTTGTACAAGAGTGTCATGTAGTCCATTTTTTTTAATGTGAATTCCACTTCCACCAGTTTCTCCAGCCATATCTTTGCAGTTTCTCCAGCCATATCTTTGCTGTATCTGCCCAACATAGATATGGTTAATTGATGGTGTATAAAATGAAAATTATGCATAACAAAAAAAAAAGACAGTAGAGGAGTTTCTTTTAGTTTTTGTTTTGTTTTTTTGTTTTTTTCAAGCAGTGGTCTGCTGGTATGGAGTTGCCACAAACGAGGAGAACATTGAATGGTCAAAATTACATTCTTTTCTTTGAAAAACAAAGGTTGTAACTCCCTATCATCCTGCTTTTCTTTTTACATTTGCAAAGCAGAAAGACTGTAAACTAAATGTTGCATATCATTCTACTATTTTTTTATAGGAAATGGTAGCTTTCATTAGTTAAAACCAGAAGAACAACTGTCGCCTTCTAAAGTGAAAGGTGACCCCTGAACAAAAAAACAACTTACAACACTGCCCAAAATAAAACCTCCCGATTCACCCCTTGCTTGCTAGGTTGTCAGCTAAAACATTTGTTGACCTCCTAGACCAATAAACTTGTGGACCCAGCTGCCTTGTGAGGCTCAATAATTCCCTTACAGGTTGTCTAAGGGACCACGTTCCCAAACTATTTGATTGCAGCCAACCTACTACTAATTTTGAATCTCCCTCCACTTCTAACTGTTGAAAGCCCAATTGCTTGGCCAATCTGAACCCTTGGAGGAGAGCCAACATTTCAGCTCTAAGCGAGTCCCCCAAACCTATTGGACCAGAATACATAGCTAGGATTTTTCCTTCTGCATTTCTAAATACACCCCATATTCCAGAAGGTCCAGGGTTCCCAAGAGAGCTTCCATCAAAGTTCAGTTTGACATTACACTGCAAAGGAGGGGACCAAGCTGCTTGTATGGAAGTGATGAAGTAGAAGACCTTGCCAAAATACTCCAGCCTCTAGTCAAATTATCTATGGAGACATCCTTGAACAAGTCAAGAGTTTTCAGCCAATGTACTGCTTTGATGGTGATCCCTTCAATAACTTCAGGAGCTGATTTTTCTTTCCCTTGGAAAATCCTATTATTTCTCTCTTCCCACACTGCCCACAAGATAGCTGCCCTCATTGTTCTCCACATCACCCTTCCTTTCTTCTTTGGCTGTCGGAAAAAGCTAGGGTCAAATAATTCCGCTACACTTGTGGGGGGAGTCCACCTACAATCAAAGAGAGAGGAGAACCAATCCCAAATTAGAGCACTAAAAGGACAAGAAACTAATAGGTGGTTCCATCTCACCATTCCTCAAGCAAAGGCTACAGACATGAAGGGACAAGCACCAATTTGGTCTCTTTCTTTGAAGTACTTCCAAGGTATTGATTTTTTGGAGAACCACTTCCCAACAAAAAGCCCTTACTTTTGGGGGTACCGGAGCGCTCCATACTTCTTTAACAGGAAAGGAGGTAACCGGGTTAAAAAGAAGGACCAAAGCTTTGAAAAACGAAGAACAAGAAAAACTACCTGTAGAAGTTTCATTCTACAATTGCACATTTACAGTCGATATTAACTTATTTAAGTGATGGCATTAATATTTTAAATTTAGAACATACTTTTTTTGTTAACTAGTCATTGCCTAACCAAGTTAACACTGATTACATCTTTATTTTGTGATCAATCATTCAGTGCCTAGGCACTGAATAGTTGCTGCATCACCTAGGAAGGCCAAACAACTGCTCATTGCTTCATCACATTGAGAAATTGGCACTAATACAAATCAAGAAATTTATTCAAAAAGCTAATGAGAACTTAGAACGATAAAGAAATTTATTCAAAAGATTTGAAGAATGGAGGGAAAAAAAGCAGAAAAGGAGGACATGAGAACAGAGGTGAAAGGTGAACTTTAAGGAGGTGTACAGTACTGTCCTGCAGGGATTCTTTTCTTCTTCTTTATTTCCTTTCCTTCTTTTTGGTGGTGGTATTGGGTGGGCAGGGGGTAGAAATTTCTTGGTGAGTGGTAAATTCAAATGAGGTGATGACCTTTGTCTAGGAAGGTGAAGAGAAACAAGAATCTATTAGGGAGGTCTCTATGGAATTTCACTACAAAAGTAATTGCCTATAAATATTAGTCAGAATGATCTATTCCCATAGTCTGTTTGGTTCGGACAGGAATTGGAATGGGAATTTGAATCAGCTGGAATGGGATTTCATTCCCAAGGGAGGGGAGGGAATGGCCATTCCCTCAAAAGGGGAAATGTCATTCCACGCGGAATGGGAATGGGATTCCAATTCCGCCCAACCAAACAGTTGGAATCGGAATGGACCATTCCGGTTCCAATTCCAGACCCCCATTCCCATGACCAAATGGGCCCTAAGTATGGTATGATAAACAATGGATGAAATTGTATTGGATAACCATTATCTCCGTAGCTGTGAAGGTGACTCTGTGGACCACTTATTGATTCAATGTTCTTCCTATCTTGTATGTGTACACTTTTTGAAGCTTTTTGGGAAGCAGTGAGTGGTGTCTAGGAATTTCCTAAGTATGATTACTTTATGAGAAGCCAAAGGCTACAGTGACAGAGGGGGCTTGTCTTGTTAGACAGTTGTATGCCCTTAGCTTCAATCAGAATTATGTACATTATGAATTTATTGTAAATGAATAAAGTATACATTTGATTCATGTTCCTGTGGTGTGTTTCTGTGTAATACCCTTAAACTGGACACTTA